CTAGACATGAATTATTAAGGAAGGAAACAAATAAAAAAACCAAAAAGATTCTTCCAATACCCAACGCATATTACGCAGCCACAGAGCGGAGAGAGAAACCCATAGAGAGAGAGCTCGAGACGCTCAATTTAATGGCGGCCGCATCAGCTGGAGCCTTGATGCTCTTCCGTGTAACAGACTTATCACGGCACAAGCTAATCCTTCACCAACCACCACCATCTTCATCGACTCCTCTCCGGTTACCTTGTTTTCCTCACCGTGCCGTGTCGTCATCTTCCTCTGTCATTAGCTGTCTCAGTGGAGGCGGAGTTTCTTCCGACGATTCATACGTATCTACTCGTCGGTCGAAGTTGGATCGAGGTTTCGCTGTGATCGCGAATTTGGTTAATCGGATCCAGCCGCTTGATACTTCCGTTATCTCCAAAGGCTTATCTGATTCAGCTAAGGATTCGATGAAGCAGACGATTTCTTCTATGCTCGGTCTCCTTCCTTCCGATCAATTCTCCGTTTCCGTCACCATCTCCGAACAGCCTCTCTATCGCCTCCTTATCTCCTCCATCATCACCGGGTAAGCTCATCTGGAATCTGATCTCTCTATCTTAATCATCACCAGTCTGAAACTCAGGGGATTTTGATTGAATCTCCGTTTTGGCTAAATCTGTGTGGTGGTTTTAGGTATACGTTGTGGAATGCGGAGTATCGTGTATCACTGACGAGGAATTTCGATATACCCAGTGATCCTAGAAAGGAGGATTATAAATCTTCGAAAGACGATGTTCGATTTGGATCAGAGAAGGGAGTGAGTGAGGATTTAGGGAATTGTGTTGAGGAATTAGAGAGAATGAGTCCTCAGGTGTTTGGAGACTTATCACCTGAAGCATTGAGTTATATTCAGCATTTGCAGTCTGAGTTAACTAGCATGAAAGAGGTAATTTCAAATGTCAGTAACTCGATATGTAATCGACTTGTGAAGCTCTTTGTCTTTCCCATGTTTGAATTGTGTGTGCATTCTCAGTCAAGTCTGATTATGTTTCCATGGAAGATGGTTTGTGATACTGTTAAGCCCTAATACTTGTTTTGTTCCCATTGTGTTATTCCAGGAACTAGATTCACAAAAGAAGAAAGCTTTACAGATAGAATGTGAGAAAGGGAACAAGAATGATTTGTTGGAGTATTTACGGTCCTTAGATCCTGAGATGGTAGTAAACATTGAGGTTTCTTTGATAGTATACTTTTTCTCAGTCTTCAAGTTCCACATTTTAGTGACTAGAATCACGTTTTGACAGGTGACTGAGTTATCTCAACTATCTTCACCAGAAGTGGAAGAGATCGTAAACCAACTTGTCCAAAACGTAATACAGAGGATCTTCGAAGACCAGGCGACTTCAGGTTTCATGCAAGGTTCTGTCATGAGAACTACAGAAGGTAGTGATGGAAGTGGTAGGAAAGTAGACACTTCCAGGGATTACCTTGCAAAGCTCCTTTTCTGGTAAGTATAACAAACGCTTATACCGATTTTTACCTGGTGAAATAATGAAAACAGATCTTGTTAATCTCATTGATGGTCCCGTTTGGTTTCAGGTGCATGCTATTGGGACATCATTTAAGAGGATTGGAGAATAGATTACATCTCAGCTGTGTTGTTGGGTTGCTGTAAAAATCAAAGAATCAGAAAAAAGGAGACAAAAAGAAAAACACCAATGTATATTCTTCTCCTCTTCTCTCCCATTTTGGTTTCTTTAATCTAAGCCTTAAGTTATAATCAATCAATCGCCTCTGCAAATTTTCTACCTCTTTAAGTTCTTCCAATTAGGTTCCCAATTGTGTTTAGATAAACAAAGGAAATAAAGATCAATAGAAGTAGAAAAGTCGTTACAAGGTAAATCATATAGTACAAGGTTACTTTATTTACCAACTAGGATTTGAATTGAGATATTATTCTGAATTTTTGTGTGATTATATATACATCTTCGATTCTTTATTATGCTATTTGAAGAGTTGGTAGACTTGATCATGTCTTTTTAGCTAGATAAGCGTCTTTCAATCATTCAATGGGATCTTAATGCTAATTGTGTATCATTAAGAGTTAGAGTTATATTGCGGGTTGACTATAATTTCAAGGGTTGACCCGCATTTAAATTGCAATCTTTAAGCATTTGGAGGGTTTATTTGCAGAAAACCCTTGTTATAATCTCTTATTCATTAATATGTTTTAATCAACTTATTTTACTGTTTCTAGATGTTGTTCTCTAAGTAGGTGGTAGAGTAATTTAATATATTCGAATTTTTCACGTGTACTCACTTGACCAACCTCTTTATGCTAGTTACATACACCTTTGATCCGAGTTTGATTTCATTTTTTTTGTTTGTGTGTAATTGACCAAAGTAAATTGAAATTAATGCGGACTGGTTAGGTACGCTTTTGGTTTCAATTTGGATTTTTTTATCAAATATATATGAAAGACTCTTTGGTTAATTAAAGAAATTTATGAACCAACCTCGATTGTGTCATTTAGCCAAATGTTGTCGGTTTAGGTACTTGATTTGTTTGGTTTATTTGGTTTCAAAAATCCTTAAAAGCCTATGAAAGTAGGTGAGCTTTGTAACTTCTGTCTGATATTTTTATTTTTAAAAAATAAGTAGAAATTTAAAACGGAGGAAAGCAAAAATATGTTGGACACGAAACTAACCGAAAACAGCAGTAAGTCAGTATGTCACACAAGAAGCGTTGGACTCATTCATTTTTCCATTTCACTACTTCAAATATACAAAATGTGAAACTCAACGGTTCTAAAAGATGGGACTTCATCCAGTCTCAGAGGCAAACGCCTCAAGCCCCTTCGGCTCTCTCTCCGCTGCCGAATTCTACTCCCGCCACTCCGTCACCCACTCCTCTGCCTACGTAACCAACCCGACCGGCCTCAAACTCTTCACACAATGGTGGACTCCTCTCCACCGTCCACCACTCGGCCTCATCGCCGTCGTCCACGGTTTCACCGGCGAATCCAGCTGGTTCCTCCAACTAACCTCTATCCTTTTCGCCAAATCAGGATTCCTCACTTGCGCCATCGACCACCAAGGCCACGGTTTCTCTGACGGCTTAACGGCTCATATCCCAAACATTAACCTCATTGTCGACGACTGCATTTCCTTCTTCGATGAGTTCCGTAAGCTACACGCTTCCTCTTCCTCTCTTCCTTGCTTCCTCTACTCCGAATCTCTCGGCGGCGCGATCGCTCTCTACATAACCCTCCGTCAGAAATCGCAATGGAACGGTCTTATCCTCAGCGGTGCGATGTGTTCGATCAGCCACAAGTTCAAACCTCCGTGGCCGTTACAACACCTCTTAGCCCTAGCTGCCACTCTCGTCCCAACCTGGCGCGTCGTTCCCACTCGCGGTACCATCGCCAGAGTCTCTTTCAAAGAGCCGTGGAAACGGAAACTCGCCTTCGCTAACCCGAACAGATCCGTCGGTAGACCACGCGCCGCTACGGCCTACGAGCTGGTACGAGTCTGCGAGGATCTTCAGGGAAGATTCGAAGAGGTCGAGGTTCCGTTGATGATCGTACACGGTGGAGACGACGTCGTCTGCGATCCTTCCTCTGTCGAGGAGCTTTACCGAAGATCAAGAAGCAGAGACAAGACGATTAAGATATATCCAGGGATGTGGCATCAGCTGATCGGAGAGTCGGAGGAAAACGTCGATTTAGTTTTCGGTGATATTTTGGATTGGCTCAAGAAAAGATCTGAAATCGCCACCGTTAACGGTGGCGTCAAAGCTTAAAAGCTCCAAAGATTTTTACTTTTTCAAATATAAATAATCAATCAAAATTTACAAATCTTCCATTAGTGTAAACAAAAACGCTCCGAGAATTTCGTATTCAAGATCCTGGAGAATAGGTCACAAAACTGAAATCCTCAATTCTCAAGAGAAAATTGTTAACAAAAAAATGAAGAGAAAAGTAGAGATTTTGTATGAGTTTAAGCCATTGAGATGATAAAAATGAAAGATATCATGAAGGAAGTGGAAGGGAAAGTAAAGTTTTCAATGGCGGATTCGACGATGATGTTACTTGTTCAACAAGCAATGGACAAAGCTCACGAAAAGATCAAAACCAAACACGGTCTTCTCCTCCGCCTCAACGCCATATCTCTTTTCTACGAGCTCGCTGTGTTACAGCTCGAGAGCTGTCTTCAACTCGTCCAACAAGAGACCGGTAAGCTCGAGAGTACCCACGAGGAAGTTGTTCGCGATCTAAGAGAGATCAAAGACAGGCTTCACCACCGCCTCTTAGAGACCGAATTAGCGATTCTCGAGAAAGACAGAGAGTTGTTGGAGATGTCTAAGAACCAAGAGAGTCTGAGAAACGTTTTGGAGAGTAAAGAGACCGAGCTTGTTCATTTGCAAGATCTTGAGAGAAAGAGAAGTCATAATAAGATTGGGAAATTTATCAAAGAAGAAGAGTTTTCTGAGCTAAAGAGCTCTGTTGATCAACAAGTGATGAATCTTAGACAAAAGCTTGAGACAGAGTACGATGAATTGAGAGGAGAGACAGAGGATCCTTTAGGGGTTGATATCGATGTTTTGAAAGGGACAATGGATCTTGCATTCAACAAGATGCATCACGCGATATTCTTGTCGGAATTGGGTCCGATTGAGCAGAGTTGGAGATGGTCTGTAGAGAGAGATTCAATGGCTTTACTGATAAAAGGTTTTATAAATGGTTTAGAGGAGAAGAAGAACAAGGTAATGATGGTTGTGAGAGATTATGAATCGGGTTTTAAAGATCGCGTTTGTTCGATTCGTAGAGAGGTAGAGTCTTTAGAGTCTCAGATTGATCAGATCATCATCCATAGATCATCTCCTAGATCATGTGTACCAACATCATCATCTTCAATAGATTGTGAAATTGGTGATGATA